CCCTCCCCCCTCACTCTCATTTCGTAGCTCGAAAGCATTTCCCCCTCCCCTCCTTCTTCCTCTCTCCTTTTTCCCTATTTTTCGCCTTTTTGTCGCCGAGCCACGCGCGTATGTATCGCGTTGTGTGTCGCGCTGTTTCGTGTCAACTGTCTGCCGAGCAGCATACGGAACAATGGAACGGCGAGCCGAGGCTGGCTGCAATAGTTCTGCCGACGTTTCGTATTATTCATTCGTGGCCGCGATGTAGAAGCCACGAGAAATGGGAGGGGGAGGGAGTGAGAGAAAGAAGAGGAGAAAAAATGGGTGAAAAGGGGGTGAGGAATGAATCGTGCCACGGTTTGACAGACGAGACAACAACAACAACAACGACGACGACCACCATCACATCGATACGTCACATTCGACCCTGTGTCGTCGACCCACATCTTACACGCTTTTCCGTCCTTTCTACTTATGAAATTGCACGAGTAAATTCTCGATTGTCCCCATTTTTTTTTTTTTTTTTTTTTTTTCGTATTCAGTGTATCCTTTAAGAGAATGGATGAGAACTGGATCGCGAAGAGTAGAAAAAAGTGATGTAACGTCGAATAAATTAGTTGTGCGGCAATCTTTTGAAGATTGTCCGTGTAATTGAATTATAAATAAAGGGGGAAATTTAAATGTGAAAATAGATAATTAATCTTCGCGTACGAAAACACGAGAGAAATAATTTCACCTCGCGAAAATTGAATTCGCTTCGAATTCGAAGTGGGGAAAAAGAAAAGAAAAAGGGAATTGCGCTTATAGAATCTGTTCTAGAAAAATTTCTCATCGTTCCCTGATTTAAATGTAAAAGTCTCTGGGCGGGCAACTCTCGACTTTTTCAGAAAGAGAATTTATACGAGTACGCTACACCTATTCCCAATGCTCTCGTGCTCCTTCCTTCCGCGAACTCGAGAACCAACCCCTTAAATTTCTTAAATTTAAATTTTCTCCACGAATCGTGCCACCCTGAAAAACGATCCCATAATCCGCACGTGTCCCCACCCTACCTTTCCATCTTCCCCGAAACGACAACGATTCGTGATTCTCCAACTCGATCGACGAAAATTTTCAATTTCAAGCTAAGGATAAAGTTTACTTTAACGAGTTGCTCGAATATCATTCGAAACATCGAATAACCCTCTTCAGAAACCCTATATAAAACGTCAAAGGCAATATCTTTTCAAAGCAGTGATCGAGTAGGATCGAAAAATATTATATCGATATGCTTCGAGTTTTTTTTTTATTATTAAAAAATTCTATGATTCTTCCCACAAATTCTTCAATTTTTCTTCCTTCTTCCTTGAAGTGATTTTAATTTAAAAAAAGAAAAGAAAACATATTGATTGCACGAACAATTAGTCAACTATGTATAGTTGTTATTTCTTAAAGCAAGCTCTTTAATTTTAACTAATCAAAATTTTTAACTATTTTTCAGCCCGACTCTCGATACTGGAGGAATATACTCGGCGAGTGTAGGCCGTGGTGGAAGGGTGGTGAGGGTTGGCCGGGCGGGGATGGCTTTAACCGGTCGATACTTGGTTCCACAAGCGTTACACCAGGAAGGGGTGCGGGAGGAGCGTGGCACAGCCCTGATCCTGTTGGCCGGACATCGACGTTTGCCAGCCGGACGTGTAATCGCGGAAGAAAGCTAAGACGGATGCCAAGCATGAAGATATTCGGGTACGTTCACCTATCGAATTAACCTACTGAGCTGGAGAATCTTGCTCTTTTTTTTTTTTTTTTTTTTTTTTCCCACTTTGGATAGCGTATTTTATTAATGAAAATCCAATGGAATCGATTCGACTTGGGAATTATGATTCTCGTTTCTCGTGGTAAGATTAAACAGTTTTGAAACGTCATTGTTTATGAGAAATTTTGAGGAAGAAATTATCGATCCGCGAGAAATATTTCCTTCAATTTTGAGATAAATGTGGGTAAACGTAAGTGAATGTCAATAAATGAAAAAGCACTTGCCGACGTAACGATTTTAAAATATAACAATACGCAGAGTTTAAATGATTTCAAAGCTGGACACGTGGATATTTTAGATAGACATCATAGTAAATTTGATTTTCCACTTGCAAACCCGATATTATTTTCCCCTTGCACGCTTGTACAATTGTTACGAACGTTATTTGCAATTGCATTACAGTCGAATCGAATTATAAAGTTGCGGATGTCGCTCAATCATCAAAAATTAAATTCAATTTTACTTTTTTGACTTCGTATTCTTTTTTTTGCAAGAAATAATCTCAATAACGAATCACCTGCGAAAAACAAACGAAAGATGAAGAAAGAATTATTCAAGGAACAATTATAATATCGTAACGATAAAATTGAACGAGGATAGTTATTTTTTATTCCATTATTTTCCCCGCAAAATGGCACTCAAACGTATTCGAACAATATAAAATTCAACAAACAAATCCTTCGAAACACTTGAGTGGCAAATGCAACGAGGCCCTCGTACGTTTCCACCATTCCAACATGGAACCTCTCTCGTCGATATCGATTCGCGTAATCTCATCGAGGAACAAACGTGTCCATTCCATTCCTCGTATAAAAAATAGGAAACGCGATGCTGCGACATTAACTCGCGGCCGATCGATCTCTACGGTAAAAAATTAGAAATCGCTGCTCCTGACAACTCCTCCTCCTTCCTTCGATCCCCCCTTGTTTACCGTGGGAGGAAAAAAATTGGCGGACAGTAACCAGACCAATATCGACGTGGCTTAATTAAACGTCACGACGCGTTTCTCGTTTCGAAGGGTCAAAGTTCAGGTCGATAGCGAGTTCCAACGTTTCGGAAGTGCCTTCGAATCCGCTCTTTCTTCTCCCGGAAATTGCGTCGGATCGGCTGATAATAGGACGATCGAAGAAGAAAAAAATCCTTTGTGACTTTTTTTTTTTAACAATCGGCTCCATTCGATCGTAATTCAGAATTTTACAATTTTTCGATCGATTACTTCTCGAATCCATTTTATCCATCGTTGATACATTCCTTAAGAAAATCCTTTGTAACTTTTTTTTTTATCGTTAACAATTATCGGCCCCTTTCGATCGAAATTCAGAATTTTTCGATCGATTATTTCTCGAATCCATTTTATCCATCGTTGATACATTCCTTAAGAAAATCCTTTGTGACTTTTTTTTTTATCGTTAACAATTATCGGTCCCTTTCGATCGAAATTCAGAAATTTTCGATTATTTCTCGACTTCATTTTATCCATCGTTGATACATTCCTTAAGAAAATGCTTTGTGACTTTTTTTTTTATTAACAGTCGGCCCCTTTCGATCGAAATTCAGAATTTTTCGATTACTTCTCGAATCCATTTTATCCATCGTTGATACATTCCTTAAGAAAATCCTTTGTGACTTTTTTTTTTATCATTAACAATTATCGGCNTCCTTAAGAAAATGCTTTGTGACTTTTTTTTTTATTAACAATCGGCCCCTTTCGATCGAAATTTAGAAATTTTCGATTATTTCTCGAATCCATTTTATCCATCGTTGATACATTCCTTAAGAAAATCCTTTGTGACTTTTTTTTTTATCGTTAACAATTATCGGTCCCTTTCGATCGAAATTCAGAAATTTTCGATTATTTCTCGAATTCATTTTATCCATCGTTGATACATTCCTTAAGAAAATCCTTTGTGACTTTTTTTTTTATCGTTAACAATTATCGGCCCCTTTCGATCGAAATTCAGAATTTTTCGATTACTTCTCGAATCCATTTTATCCATCGTTGATACATTCCTTAAGAAAATCCTTTGTGACTTTTTTTTTTATCGTTAACAATTATCGGCCCCTTTCGATCGAAATTCAGAAATTTTCGATTATTTCTCGAATCCATTTTATCCATCGTTGATACATTCCTTAAGAAAATTAATGAGAAAATGGTAATAATGATAAAAATGCCCGAGATGCTTAAATCAATCGATATCATAAATATGAGCACGTTGACAAGTTGAACGTGTGCGTTCGAGGCTTGGAGGCGTTTCCGTAACGCAAACAAACAAATAATGATCGCATTGAGCGAATGGGAGCGAGATAAAAATAGTACGTTCGCGGGGCGATCGCGTGTTAAACGCGGATGTAAGGAAACCCGGTCCGGTTCGTTTCCTTGTGATCGATTCGGAGGCGGCCCCTTCTAGATATATAACACACGGATTTACCAATAATAGGAGGTAACCGGGTAATGGTGGCTAAACCTAGCCCCGTATCACCGTATGCGCGATCTAAATTATGCCTTAGCCAGGCTATTTAAACGCTAGAACGATAGAAGTAGTATCTGGCCGTGTGGGAGGGGGGACGTCGGAATAATAATTGCGTGCGCGTAATTTATGCGTCGTTTCGACGAGATGATTAACTCGGGGGATCGTTCTCTGTACGTGTTTAATCGCTCGTATCGATTATTGAAATTCGCGCAAGGGAGAAGAATCCTATGATTTATTGAACGAAAGGAGGAAGAGCCCTCGAATTCTCGAACAAATTTTACATTGAATTCCATCGTTGTGTTCGTCAATATTTCGTACGAATCTTTTATCGTGAATTCCGATTAGATGGAATTTTTTTTCGTCTATTTTATCTTCTTCGTATCTTGGTTGCAATTACGAAGTAAATAATAAGATAAGTGATTATGGATAATTACGCGTATTAGATAATGGAAATAGATGAAATGATGGTTAAATTGCGAATGAGATTATAGATGTAATTGAAACGTCATAGACGTAGAGAATGGAGAAAACTGGGAACATTGAAGTCGCTTTTTGATATCTCAATCGGTTGTCGAGATACAAGCACTCGAAGCGTCCTCGCAGTATCGAAGATTATGAATGGGTCCGCGACCCAGTGACCCATATTTTTTCCTGGAAATGCGTGGTATACGATCTTCCAAGAATCGTATACCTACTTTCTTCCAGGAATTCTTAGGCCTGTCATTTGTCTGCGGTTTGGGATAGGTCAGTGGAAATAAAAACGTCGCGAGAGGTCGAAGCAAGCGAAAAGGATAGATAGATAATAAACGATTAAAAATTACTCTTCTCTTTACACGACGATATCTCGGCAACCAAAAGTCGTATCGAGATAAATTAAAAAGCGTTTTAAAAAGGAAGATTCCGCGCTTCTAAGATCGCTCACTCGTCCACCGGAAGTCGTCATCTTCCGAGTTATAGCGGTTCAAAGTTTTCTTAATTTTAATCGAATTTGTAATGTAAACGATTAAAAATTATATTTTTACGCGATGATATCTCGAGAACCGGAAGTCGTATCGGAATAAACGGAAAAGTGTTTTAAAGAGGAAGATTCTGCGCTTCTAATAATCGCTCACTCGTTCACCGGAAGTCACTATCTTCGAAGTTATAGCGGTTCGAAGTTTTCCAAATTTTAATCAGGTTTAATTAAAAATTATCCTTTTCTTTACACGATGATGAGAAGCATGAGTCGTATGAAAAAAGAATAAGATACCACATTTATGAATGATCGTTTATTCGTTGATCGGAAATTCCTAGATCACGACGTATATTTTTACAGGATAAAATAAATGTAATATTTCATTTTTAGGAATGAGATCAACGCATCCAACGAATTTCCACACAAGTTTCAAATAAAAATACCAGTGAAATATTAAAAAATTTATCTCGTAACAAATACACGAAATATTTAATATTAATATAATATCCCGATGAATTTTTAATATCCACCGCGATAAATCAAAAATTCTCTCCCCCAATATTTTCCACGTATAAACAATGGCAAATTCAAAAAACAATTTCGCAATCCAGAAACACATTAATCTAATAATCAAAAGAGAATTATTACATCGAATTTCGATACATCAAAGTAAAAACTTACCGATTCTTTCTTCTTCGAAAATCATACAGAAAATCATCATGACGAACAGTCTCTCTAATCTTATTAATTATCTCATTAATAAGTGATCGAATTACTTTACGATTGTATTAAATATACATCAAGATCGTAACGAAAGATGAAAAAAAAAAAAAAAAGCCAAGAAAGAGAGGATCGTTTAAATTCGAAATCCGATTTCTACAACCCCTTCTCAAAGAGACATCGTAAAACGATCTTTTTAACAATTTTTAACACCATCGTGCGAGAAAAAGAAAAATTCGAAATTCTCTCTCTCTCTCTCTCTCCCCTCTCTTTTCTCTTTCTCTCTCTCTCTCTTTCCTTACATCTCCTCGGTATTCCCGGAAGTCGTGGATGAAAGACGCGACGTTAAAAGAATCGTTAAGAAAGTAATTTCAACCGACACGGCCGCGCTCTTTCCACCGCTTAAGCGCATCGGTCGCGCAGAAATTGATCTCTCCCCGTGTACGGACGCTTCTTTTCTCTTTTTTTCTTTTTCGAGCGGACGGAGTGAAAGAGGCTACTAGAAAATTTGCTTTTCAAAGGGGAGGACTCACACCATTCTCGAAGCAACGCCGCGTAAAAAGATAAAAGGATGAATTATTCTATTTTCCTCTTACGTCCTCCATCCGCCTTCTCTCTAATCAAGCGCGGATAAAGCTTCACGGCCTCGCGGATTCGAGAAAAGGGAAGAGAGGGAGAAGGTAGAAATATATATTTTTTGCGAGCAGACCTCCTCTTGGAAAAATAATAAAATATAATATAATATAATATAGTATTAATTTGAAATAAGATAATTTTTTTCAATTGGAAAAGGATAGTAATTAAATGAAACGGGCGAAAATCGATCGATTTTTAGAA